CCTCCACCCAGGTACCAGCCGGCCCTGCAGCCCAACGCAGCCACCGGCGCCGTCAGCGGCGGCTTCGCGCGCACGGGCGGCGGCAGCGCCTTCAAGCGGCCGGGCGGCGCGGAGGAGTTCTCAAAGCCCAAGAAGTTCAAGACGTAGTGTTCTTTACGTTTTTGGCTGCCTCTACTTCCTTTGGCGCCGCGTCATCGTTTTGTCGGCGGTGTATCTGGCGTCCCCGTTGTTCCCTACTTATTATCCCACGCACTTCAGGGTTTACACTCGTGTGTTTGAGTAACCTGCAGTGTTGACTGGCACAGTCCAGTCCACGACCCTGGCTGGCGTGGCGGTGTGGGCTGCCCTGCCTCCCCTGTGATGAAAAAGGCCCGCGGCCCTTTGTTTGTGATGTCACACACCTCCATGTGCCCGGCTGTAACTCGTGAAACACGGCGTTGGGTTGTGTAAACGGGTCAACATCATCATGTTCGGAGGACAGCTGCAGGTTTGGGGTTGTCGGTGGGGTTTGGTGCGCTGGAAGGCGCCCGCGCCCCCCGTCCTGGCCGGCAAAATCGCACATCGGGAGGTGTTGGGTTGTTGGCAATCAGCAGAAGCGGGGCACATATGGCAGTGGGGCTCTTTCTCGCAACCCAACCTTCGTGCATTTGGGCGTGCGCGTTGAGCGCATGCAGTACCACCCGCAGGTAAGCAGCACCTTGAACCTGCAAAACAATGTTTGGTCCAGCCATCAGCGTTGAAAGAGCCGAACACATCTGCGTGTGGGGTTGCTGCTGTGGTTGCAGGCTTGCCCTTGCGCCTGCACTCGCCCTGCCTCCACCCTACTGAAAGCAGGTGTCGCCGTCGCCAGGGCCATCAGTGCGGCCCGCCGGCGGCCCGCTGCTGCTTTGGCAACGGGGTGGCCGGCAGGTGACCGCACGCAGCCCCCCTTGTCCTCGCCAACGGGGGCGGTGGCTGGTGAGCGCCAGCATGCCCTTTGAGTGTTTCGAGCTGTCCTTTCGGTCGCGCGACTCACGGCATGCTGGTCACTTGTGCTGCAGGTTGTTTCAATGCCACTTGCATGCATCGTTGCTGGAGCGGCTTGGTACTGCACAGTTTTGAATGTTTTTGTGCAACGTGTCTGACTTTTTTTCTGGTCAAAGCATCTTTCTCAGAATCCTAGCTAGTACACTCCTACATTCATATATGCTGTTTCGTGAGTTGCAACCCAGCTCATGGGCATGTGCATCGGCACGGCCCATTCTTGCATGCATCTTGCATCTCACGGAATGCACCGCTGTGTTGCGTGTCTGCCGCAGCACTGTGTGCCACGGAGCTGTACACTTGCAATCCATTTGTGTGACCTTTTTGCAATTTTGCACATGTACCCACCGCCAAGTCGGGGGCTTTGTGTACTATGCTGCTCAGAACGGTCGATCGCGGCCACCTGAACCTCAGCCACTCAACGTCGGCGCTGGCGACGTTCATGGTCCAATCCTGTCAGCCTGGATGTCTCCAGAAACGGGCGACCGCGGGGCGCGGTAACAATCCTACTCATTACTGTTTACCTGATCCGTTGCTTCACCCACCCCCCGCCCCACAGAACCTGGCCCCTGTCACCGACAGTTTCAGGCGCCCGCTGCCTGGCGGCCCTATGCCGCACATCGAGGACGAGCGCCCCTGCCATGCACGCTTGGCGTGGTGCACGACGACCGCCCTGTTTAACATGACCCCATCCCCCAGCACTTTGCTGTCACCTCTTGGCCCCTTCCTTGCTTATCCGTTACACAGCACACATGCAGGGGGGGCAGCAGGCCGCAAGGCCCAAACGGTCGAGGCATAACCACAAGCAAAAGCAGCCCCGAGGCAGGAGACTGCAGCGCGGCCACCCGGCGTCAGCGCGCCAAGGCAGCGTGAGCAGGCGGCCCCCACCCCATACAGGCATTGCAGCGCTCCTGAGGGGCGCGGTGTGGCCGCTGTTCAGCTGCGCGATGCAGGGCGCGCGGTGCAGGGTTTAGGGTGCAGGGCGCGCGGACACACATGCAGGCCCTGAGGGAGCCGCCCGAGCCGGGGCCCCGGCCCAGCTGCGTCGGCCGGGGTCAATGGCGGGCTGGGCGTCGGCACATCTGGTGGCAGCGGCGCCGCGGCCGCCACCGGCGACGGCGCAGCGGAAGTGGCAGCGCGGTGGGCAGTGGCAGCGCGGCAGCCGGCGCGGCGCATGGGGGGGGCGGCAGTGGAGGCGGCCCGGGGGACTGCCACAGCGCCTGGTCCGGGCGACTTAGGAGCAAAGGTGCACCCAAGCGGGGATGGCAGAACCGGCGGCGCGGCGGGGCACGGTGGCTCAGCGGCATCGGCGTGGCACACACGGGCGCGACACCTATCGATGGCGGTGGCGGCGGCGACGGACGCGCCGGGCTGGGGTGGGCTCCGGCGTCGCGCCCAATGCGTGCCGTCGCGTCCGTGGCTGCCGCCGAAATGGGCGGCCGTGGCGCGGGCGCGCACGGCGCTGGGGCGGCGGGGGCAGCGGCGGCGGCAGCAACCCCGACCTGGCCGCCCACGCAGGCCGCCTCGCACGTCGCGGGATTAAAGGTGGCTTGCTGCCGCTCGGGTGCGAAACGCGGCCCCGCACGCAAGTGGCCGTACCCATCCATCTGCACGACCATTGCGGGGAGCCTCGCGGGACCAGAACGCCACCTGCCCATCAGGTGCCACCCAGACAGCCCGTTGTGCTGCATGCATAGCGCGATGATATGCGCACGCTCCCAACAACGCTTGCACAGCCTGCTCCACCTGAGTGGGCCGTTGCATCAGTGCGGCAGCCGGCTGGGCGGGTGCCCCGCGCCATGCACACAAGCCAGGCACAGGACAACAGACGGCCAAGAAAAAGTGCGCAATGAGCCAAGGACTCGCTTGCGTGATGCCCTGCGCGCGCACTGGCGCCTCACAACACATGGGAGGGGCTCCCGGGGAAAGGACGCGGCCCCCGCTCCACTGCTTGCCTGCCAAGCGGCCGTGCTTAGTTCTCTGATTGGACCGTGCTTGCCGGGAAGCGGTCATTCTCTGGCGGCGTCACGCCGCCGAGCAGCTGCTTGCTGCTCTTGCTGCATCAGTGCGTCAAACTTTTCGTCGATCTTGGCGCCGAGGCTGTCAAAAATGGCGCCGAGGCGGTCAAAGTTTTTGTCGATCTTGGCGCCGAGGCGGTCAAAATTGGCGCGCAGCTCCTTGAGGTCCCCCCGCACTTCAAGTGCAGTGACATAGAAGCGGGCACCGGAGCCTATGATGATGGCGGCCATCAGCAGGTTGGTGACGAGAAAGAACGTCTCCTGGCTCGCCACCCCCTGCGCGCAGGGCGCGCGCATTCGGTGCGCGGCGCTAGATTGAGGCTGGTCAACGGAGGTCCACGCGCGAGAGGCAGAGGTTGAAGAAAGATAACAGGGCCGACGCCCTGGTCAAAGGACGCCGACCGCGGCGCAGGCCGGAAGCGCCCACAGCTGGCTCAGCCGCCTGCGCCTGCATGCCCCCTCCCAAGTCCGGAGCCACAGCAAGCAGGGACACTGCAGCGGGCGCCATGCAGCGGCGCCCGCGCAGTGCCGCCGTGGTAAATGCTGCGCCCACCTCCTCTTCATCCCTCTTGTGGCCGTGGAGGGCGGCAACAAGAACCGGCTGGCGGCGCGGCCGCGGCGCAGCGCGGCACGACGGCGCTGAAACCCGCCACGTTGAGAGCCTGGCTGGGGCCGCAGCGGTCACCTTCCGGGAGAGCATCTCTGGCTGATCAAGGGACTGGAACGCGACTGGAGCACGATGCTACGTTGTTCGAGAGACCAAAGTTTGCGCGCTGTCTGGTTTACGTTATGCGTCCCCAATGTGCGGCCAGTCAATAAATCAAGCGTGATCAGACGCTTCGGCAAGCCTTTGGCTGTCTCGCGAAGCTGCGCCGATGCTTGCCCGCAGGCGCGGCACCATTGCTGGCACATGCAGCTGCTGCGCAGTTGCGCCGAGAGCAGGGTCTTGCTGCCGCACCGCTCAGGCCCAGCATCTTTGTCTTCGTGCAGGAGCCCTGAGCCTGGCCGTCGAGCCCATGATCGACACCTTAGCCGCGCCGCGCGCCGCCATCGCCATCAACGTGTTCGGCGGGGGGGCCGCGCGCGGCGGCAGCCACTGTGTCGTGCCGGGCTCCACCCTGAGGGTTCATGCCCATGCACGCTCCCGGCTGCACGGACTGTTGCCCCAGGCTGGTGGCCAGGGGGGGAGGACAGTCGGGCCCTTGCACCACTAGCCCCCCCATTTTGACCACTACCCCCACTCTTCAAGAGGGGGGGGGGGGGGTAGTGCGCCGCCCGCGCGCGCGCCGCTCCAGGGTGGTGTTACTGGCCTCAGGGCGCACAGGTGTCCAGCTCTCCACGGCTGTGTGCGAGTCGGCGGCGGTGGTGGCGGTGCTCACGCAGCCAGCCGCCGCGGTCGCGCTGATCAAGGTCTGCTCTTGTGCACGCAGCGATGCAACCGATGCGCACACACTAGCGCATGCAATCGTTCCGGCCAGGCAGCCCGAGCACAATAGCGCTCTGTGCTTACTCATCTGACACATATATAAACAGGTGGTCCCAACAGGGACCCGGAATCGATTCGGCAGAGGCCATGGAACAGGCCCCGCCCCGGGCCGCACGCGTGTCGTCGCAGCGTGGTGGGGATAGGGGCGGGGGAAAAAATGGGGGTCGGCGCCGAAAGGAGCGTTGATAGTGCGGCCGTCCGCCCGGTGCCGGGCGGCCGTCGCGCACCGATGCCTGAGCTTTGCGTGGGGGCAGGAGGACACTCCGTGACCGCGCCGCGCGGCGGCTGCGGGGTCAGACCCTGTGCGTCGGTGTTTCTAGCCGCGCGACGCCGCCGCTGAAAGGCACGCGTCTCCTTTCTGCCAGCCAGCCCCAAAGGATTGTCGTGGCAGGTGCGTATGTGTACGTGGGGGGTGGGGCGATGAGCCCCCTAATGCTCTCGCGGCCCCGCGTCAGTCGTGCCACACGATGCCTCCAAAGTGGTTGAGTGCCGCGGCCCCGCGTCAGTCGTGCCACACGATGCCTCCAAAGTAGTTGAGTGCCGCTGCCCCCCTGACTTCCAGGTCCAGCAGGGGGGCCCTGATGAGCTGCAGCCGGGAGAGCTCGGGGTCTGAGCCGATCGCCTGCAGGGCGCGCGCCTGTTTGGAG